CGTAAGCTCTCATTCACCATTCACATAGTCAACCAGATCTTCTTTCACGACGCATTTATATCAATGTAAAACAAGTATATATTAATTAGGCTAGACGTTATCAATAATTCTGTGTATCCTGCCTCTCAGCCAAGTTCAGGAGCACTTGTGGCTCATTGATTTAAAGTTATGAACTACTTAGCGTCTGTACATTAATATCCGACAAGTTTAAAGCCCTTGAATCTTAGAATAGTTATGAATTTCCTTCACAGTACTCGTGATTATATTATAGACGTCATTATTACATTTTTCTTTCCAAATCCTCGTAAAGTTATAATTAAAATGAACATAAAACCTGGCATCCATAATACTCAAAGGCATTATAATATATTTTATGTAGCGAATTAGATAAGATTATTTAAGTAATTCCACGGAGTAGAGCCGTTTTTGAGAAGCCAATGTTTGCTCAGGTACAAATTTTCCCACTTTTTTTTTTGAAGCACGAATTTCATTATCGTGTTTATAGCATCCCGTTATCGGCCCCTATAATGAGCAAAATCCAATCCACACCAAAACCCTCTTCCCCAGAGTTCCATTTTAATATTATTCTCAAATCTACGCCTATATCTTAAGACTTTCCAGTCAAAATTCTGTACACAATTCTCACCTCCCCATGCGCGCTACATGCACGACCATCTCATCCTGTTTGTCGCTGTCTCTCATTTTCCAGTGTCGTGTTTTTTTATGATATGCTGTATCGGTTTTTTTTAACCCCCCCCCCCCCCAGGAACTCAGAAAATAAAGCAAGATGGAGGGGGCGAGAGGGTATAAAGTGGATTAAAAACTACAGTACGTGTTACCCTCACGGTGTTCACAAGTAACACGAGATGCCCCCCCCCCCCCCGTCAAGAACTGAAATTAAGTTTTTATAGAAGAACACGGTTGGGTTAATGCTATCTTATTTTTATGAACGTCTTCAGAAACAGATGCAAAGGGAATTAGCCTCTTAAGATGATCTGATAAAGCATGAACTGCTAAGACATTTCCCAGACCCTCTTCGTACATAAATGTAAGGCAGTCTCATTTCTAGAAGAAAATAAAATGTAAATTATAACAGACTGACGTACGAAAGAATGGAAACACAGTACACGAATTTTCATAACCCTTCTTTGAGACTACTCCCATATGACTTCGATCTACATCCGGTGCAATCTATACGCGTTACTCATCCCGTTTGCACTAACCGGCCCCCCGCCCCCCCCCCCCCAGGGCATATAATTCGGTTATGACTAAAATTATATGTTAATGCGCGCATCTATACCAAAACTAAAACCTAAAAGTATTTATACATTTATACAAGCCTATATTTCACGAATAAGTTTATTGGAAAATAGTCTACGTTCTAACATACAAAAATAAACCTTCCTCAGAAGTTAATAGCGACGTCAGAGTTAAATTTTAAATTTCTCAAATATGCTCGCACGGGCAGACTCTACCGGCGTATGACTGGAAAAAATCGCTGGTTAGAACAGCTAGTCCACAGACCGAGCTCCGAGTACCACGTGAGTCCTCCGGAGTCCCTTGGTGCCAAATTTGGGAGCACTCAGTGCCATTTTTTTGGGGGGGGCAGTGACTCCCCTAGCTGCACACTGGTCTACTCATTTAAGGAACTGTCAATACAGCGGTGGATAACGAAGTTATTTAAGCTCGGGGGGCGAGGGGCAGGGGGGCTTTCTTGTGGCCTTGCGCTGATTGACGAATTGTTCAGTTGGTCCCCAATTCCCTACTTCCTGCGCTCATTTACATTCTCAGATACGAGAGTTCGGTACGCCATATGGACGACGCAGACCAAATGCTGTTTCCCGAACTAAAGTCGCTAGAAAGTGACGGATAAAACAATTTAAATGTATCGTTACGCCAACCTTAACTACTGGTATAGAGCAAAATCCTTTCCTTTCCTCACTCGTGTAGTAAGAAATTCGACGCCTCGTTTATGAAACCCTAAAATTCGCAAAAACCCCGTCGTTGGACCCCATCGTAAGCCTGATTAATTCAATCAATTTGTTCATACAGCTAAAACCAGTTTTAATATAATCCTCTCATCTACGGTGAATTTTTCCAAATGATTTTTCCCTTCAGGTTTTCCGCAATTCTCATTTGTGGCACTAACCTGGACACTACAAATCCATAACAAGTGAGGGCCTCTAAAATATCAAAAATAAATAAATAATAAATCACTAACTAAAGAATTATTTAGGCGCTGGTGGTCTAGCGGTTAGAACGCTGGCCTTGTAATCCTGGGGTCTCGGGTTAGATTCCCGGCGGTGCCCAAATTTATAACTTGTGTTGGGCAAGGCCGTGGTCTAGGTAACACGGAGTTTTCCTCCGTGGCATCCCAACAATTACTCCATTCACACACAGAAGAAGGCAATGGCAAACCACTTCTGGATCATCTGCCAAGAACGTATATGAACAGGTCCCAGTCCGAGAAAAGGATGGAAGGATCCTGTTCATATGGACCTGTCGTCAGACAGAACACTAAATAATAATAATAAACATACTATGACCCTGGCAAGAAATAGTAGTCAGACTACAAATGAGTGAGTACATTCGGCTTTGTAAGAGCGCATACAGGACACAGACACTGGCACGTACTGAACCACTAGTCCAGTCTGAAGACGCGATCGAGTGTACCAGCAACCACCCACCTCCACGCCTTCACTCACTATTCCAGGGGGGTTTATTCCTCAAGGGACATCAAGCAACGAGCATCAATGCACACCCCTGCTCCACCCTCGGGCCTTTCACAAGGGAAAAGAGTCGTCCAACAACTCTCTCATCCCCTGCCATGCTGATTGCATTTCAGCACCCACCCTCAACAAGTGCAGCCACCTGTACGGCAGCAAAATGAAGCTAAGCTCTTGTTGGCAGACAACGAGATAACTCGTCAGTGTGTGGAAAGGTTGCTACCTCGTACAAGTGTTTCACTCACAAATACATCGCATGATTCTTGCATTCACACACGGAGCCTGTGGTCAGACTTAATCGGAACATTGCTTGTTTCATTATTTTTCTTTTGTAATCCTTACTTGTCCCGAAGTATTATTAGGATTTTGTAATCAAGGAGGGTGGGAAGGAGCACGCAGCACGCATAGCAGAGAAAAAGGAGTAAGAAATATTTTAGTCAGAAAACTTCAAAGAAAAAATTAAGTTTTGAAGGCAGTTCCTCCACATCCAATTTCATTCATTCGTCTTGTTGCAGTGCAAAAGTCTAGTCATAATACATACTTGTAGCTTCGTCGATCGTTCGCTGTTAAAAGACTTTGGTTATTACGTTATAATATTTATGATGTGTGTGTACTGTCATAACCATTGTCATGGTAACGCTGTTATGGAATTTTGGGCCTTATGTCTTCTGTCTATATGTTGCCTTGTTACTAATCATTTGCTATTAAGGGGTTCTGGATGTTGTGGGATAACATTAATGAATGCGCGTAATATAACCATTTCCATGCAAATGATGTTATGGGATTTTCGGATGTACAGGATAATATTTATGATTTGTGTTTATTACTTTCGATTAGTATTCAATCATCGGCCATGTAAATTAAGACTGGCTATAGCAGAATAAGTCCAAATATCGAGAGCAGGACGAAGGGCATTTGCATTAGTCGTGTCCCTTTCCAACTGGAAGGTTCACAAATGCAATTTGCCGTGCACACAGGACATCTCCTTGGAACCCTGCATTGTGCGTTACGTGATACAGATCACTACAAGCCACTGCGGTCCGTTTTACCGGGTGCAGCATACCAGAAAATTGAGTTGGCTGATGCGACAAAACACTGCTCTCTTCTGTGTCTGCGAAGTAAAGCCACAGGACGCAGGATCTGGTTCAACGTAAAGATTAAGTCCCGCCGAGCGTCATGGTTAGGTTAGGTTAGGTTACAACTCCTATTCATTCGAGAGGTCCCTGGTTCTAAACCCACTGACTATCCAGCGGCGAGAAGAGTAAGCTGTCGCCAAATTGAACGCAGAAAACCGAAATGCGTGTCATCTTTGATCACTTTAATCAATTTAACCCTCGTCTAAACATTTAATAATTCAGTCCGTACCGCAAAGAAAACACAACATTTCACCATTGCGAATGACTACTGGTTGACGCTGTTTAAGTAATTAATCCCTGTTCACACTGAGAACAATACGAAACCCATACATACAAAACGCAGTTATTAACTGTGTAAAGCTGGTGGTACATATAGTTACCACTGGGTCTTAAAGGGTTAAGATTGTTACAACACCAACTCACACGTTCATTATCCGGTAGACGGGCCTGGTATGTACTTGGAGAATATCTACGCTGGTGATGGAGAAAACAGGTCTCCAAAACGTCGGTTTTTTTCACCGAAATTCAATGGAGCCGATCGCTTGATAAGATTTTAGTGCATACATACAGGCATCTTTAGACACATGTCAACAGCTGTGCATGTGCTATATACAGATGAAGAAAGTGCATCATCATACTTGCTGTTGGGACAAACTGAGCATCGAACTGTAAAGATGCGTTAAATACGAGCTTGTTTTCCTCACAATTACTCGTCTTAATCTCGATCGACTGAAAGTCATAAATAACTGATGTCATTTTTATCTGAGTGTTTAATCTCGTAGCAGTTCCAGACACGTGACAAAATCCGTATGACTACGTAATAACTATCACCAACATGTTTCGACAGATAACTCTGCAATCATCAGGCCGCCTCATATTACATTGAATAAATTCATCAAACGATAAATGTTTTAACCTATTCAACGCCGCAACTGTATCGTATTTAAAAAATATTTTAATTTTAAATATTGTCATACTTTTGTGTACACCCTATACCGAACATTTCTTTTTCCACTCTAACTGATATGACTTCTCCTTTAACTCCTCATGCTGCTCGTACTGATAATTCTGCAAGACTTATCCCCTCCCCTTCTATCCCCCCTCCCCTGTTTAAATTACTGCCCAGAACATTGCTAGCGTTTCGCAGATTAAATAAATTATCGCAAGTGTCGTCAGTTGTTCAAGGCCCGTACATCGTTCAACAAGTGCGTCATATGTTCTACTGCGTTCGACGTACTATTTCCACAGAGCAAAGTGAGTATTAAATTGTGAATACGAGTGAAATACGAAGTTGGCTTTTTGACAACATCAAATTTTTAAATAACTCGATTACTCGTCCTAATATTTTACCAAACGCCACAAATAATTGATGTGAGTTTTATCTGAGTCAGTGTTTAATCTTGTATCACACGAATAACTTATTAAAACTGTACGACTTAATACATTTAGTGTCAGCAACATATTTTGACTGATAACCCGACCATCATGTGATTTTAATTTTTCGAAGCCGAAGATCGTCTGAATATTATTTATGAATTCAGTCCGTACCGCGAAGAAAACACTACACCTCACCATTACGAAAATCAGCTGGTTAACCCTTTGAAGCCGAAGCTCGTCTTCATATTATTTACGAATCCAGACCGTACCGCGAAGAAAACACTTCACTTAACCATTAGAAGTCGAATCAGGCGGTACCACATAAGATTTAACAAAAGAACATCCCGGTGAAAGCCTTAACATTCGGCTCGCTGCCGTGATAACCTGGTACCTCACTCACTCTGTCTGTTCACGTGGCTACAAACCTACGTCACTTCAGAGCCGATAACAAAGTTTCTTGACATCCCACCGCTCAGACACTCCTCGAATTTGCGACGTTAATGACGACAAAGCGACTTGAGTTCATTAATTCACATTATCTTCAACATAAATTATATTTAAACGTCAGGATTTGATTCATGTTATCAGACACTCAGTAGCTGAAGGCTATAATGAAATGGAGTAAAAGTTAGACGTAAAATGTTTCGGTGTACGATCTCAAAATTGTTGCCAAATGTTAGGAAAAAAAAGATGCTGCCGCCAGAGATAAATTTCCCTTCCCCCCAGTATGTGCAAAGTTGTTCATGGGAGGACCAATCAGCTTCCCCTATAACTGGTACAAACGAATCTTTGAGACTGGAGATGAAGCAGTCTTAGTTTCGACGTGAAGAATGCGTGGAGCCTTATGTCTTTAAAATCAAGTGGAAACAACACGTACCACCAACTTTAACATTTACTAACTATGAATTTCGCCCATAGAGTGTTATGTGTTTCATATGATTGCCAGAATAAACAGCGATAATTTCCCTTAAAGAGCATTAACGAACCGATTATGGTCATGGAGGCGACCTGTGTTTTATTTGTGATATCAACGACAGCGCAGATTAGTCATGGAGGCGACCTGTGTTTTATTTGCGATATCAACGACAGAGCAGATTAATCCGAAGTAAAATGATAAAAAAAAACATACATTGCATACGCAGGAAAATCAGTTACCTAGAAAAATTGTACAATGCAGACCAACAGCTGTCGCCACATGACCGAACACTCTCAGTTAGGCGTCTACAGACCCGGAGAACAACGTTGTCGATGTCGGGCTTCTGGGTGGTGACGACGTATGGACTCGTTGGAATATGCCGACATTTCTGATAAACATATTATTCCGATGTTCATGGCCGTGTGTTTCTCCAAAAAAGTTGGCACTGCCTTCAAGTCGATACGTCGTTACAAACCAGAAGTACAACACTTGATATCTCCAACGATGTGACAGCCTCAAATCTCAAATATTAATGTTTTTCCTTCGGCAGATGAAAGAAGATTATGACATTATATCTGCGACAGAGGAATATCGAGACAGAATCGTCGAATTCTTGCGAGAATGCTTTTTCAAACACGAGCCACTCAACGTATGCAGTGGAGCTCCTCCTAATCGTCCAGCTCATGACATGGATTCACTCCCGAAGCTGTCAGAAGGGATGTCACTTCTAGCTGTATCGCGAAATGGACAACGCATTCTCGGAGTGTGCATCAATGGGGCGGTGAAACCGGATGCAGAGAAACAAAAGGAGAAGACATACACTCATCCGGCTTACACTAAAATTTCGAATTTCATTTGGAAATTTATAGAACGTGCGGACACGTTGAAGACCACTGGAGCAGACTGTGTGATGTTTGTTTATTTGTTGGGGGTGGATGAAGCAGCGAGGGGTCGAGGGATCGGGCGGGCTCTGATGGAGAAATCTCGAGAAAACGCGCGGTGTGCGGGGTACCCGATGATAGCCGTGGTCTGTTCCAGTTACTTCAGTGCCAGAATTGCACGTAACATTGGGATGCAAAGCGTTTATTCTCTGTCATACTCGGAGTACTTGGATGAAGATGGCCACCCTGTGTTCAAACCACTTCCACCTCACACAGAAATTAGTTTGTTGGTGCAAAAACTGAGCTCAGAAACAGAGCTCTAAGAAATATTCAACAAAAATCATTTTGATTCCATCGCCCTGATGATGGAAACAGCAGGGACCTCTTAAACGCCGGTAAACTTCTACAAGACTAGACGACGCTACAACCCAGAAGACAGCCATCTTCTAATTGCTTTGCTGTCCCGTTGCAAAAGCCAGGCTATAAGGAACCCTGTGAAAGTTTTTGTTCTGGAGTGATGCGCGATTCTTTTTAGAAAATTATTTGAACTCAAACTGAGCTTAATTTAAAGCACACATTATACTGGACTCACAGAGAATCAAGATAAAATCCACTCAACATTTTTACTACAGACTGCAAATACCAGATGTAATTAAAAATTATTTCAGTAAACGAGAGTTGGATTAGATACACGGACAGACAGACATGATCTCATATCTTTATTTTTACACACCTGCTACAAAGAACGCTGATAGTATGCAAGATGGTATCAGGCAGCAAACGAAAATAGTTTATATGGTTTACGATAAACACTCAGTCAAAAGAATTAATGTATCAGCAAATATAGGGGCATTAAAGGGGGCTGTATTCCATCCAAAATATTTTCTGCTGTTTTCATTTCGCCCACGCGTGTTCTAATAAGAACGCTACAGTACGTTCAGTAACTCAACTTCCTGTGCCACAACCATTATTCCCATCAAGACGCCTGATTCTTACACTTCACAGGTACCAGGTTCATATCCAATTTATAAAAAACCTCAAGTCTCACATAATATTAATGTTATCTTCCTCCCACAGATGGCTGATGATTATGATATTGTAACGGCTAAAGGAGAAGAAGTCGAAAGAATTGCCGAATTCTTACGTCAGCATTTCTATAAGCATTCTCCGGTCAACCTGGCCGCTGGAGCCACGGCTGACAGGCAGGTGGAGGACATGTATCCGCTCCAGTTCCTGGCACAAGGGACGTCTCTCCTGGCTGTATCGCGAGGCGGAAGACAAATCCTCGGTGCGGCCATCAACGGGGAAAACAGACCAACCGACGAAACTCAGAACGAATTTCTTAAGTCCGCCAGAAACGAAAAGATTGCTGAAATCTACAGATTTGTTGATAAAATTGAAAAGGCCTTTGATATCTGGCATTTTACGGGGGTAGATCGTGCGTTGTACACTCACATACTGGGGGTACACCCTTCTGCAAGAGGCCAGGGGATCGGGAAGGCTCTGATGTTAAAAACCCGAGACAAGGCGCGTTCTTTGGGGTATCCACTACTTCGCATCCTCTGTACGAACGTGAACAGCATAAAAATTGCTCGCGACATGGGAATGCGCAGTGTCTACACTTTGCCTTTCTCAGAGTACAAAGACGAGCAAGGACACCCTGTATTTAAAATACCATACCCTCACACAGAGGCGGTGATGTTCGTTCAGAAACTCGAACCTGCAATTTGATAATAATTTACCTTCGTCTTCGAGAAATTCTCTCTCGTCGTACATATTTCACCTTGCAGCAAATATGTTGTGCTTGAATTTAGCATAAAGATTGCATAAAATATTTCATTAGAATCATAGTAAAAGAATGAGATGTATGTCTACAACAGTTGAGTCTGAACCCACTTCATCTTCCTGCAGTATTTTCATACAATTGGAAAAAAAAAAATTCCATTCTTTGCTTGTGTATGCTCTCTTATGTTCTGAAGCACGTTTATCCATTACAACAGCATAACCACTAAAGTAGTTGAGCCTGGGGGACCAGGGTAGCGTCCCAGTGAAATTTTAAGTGCTGGGACGACACCTTAGCACGAATTTTAAAGGCGACAATACCAAATATACGTCGTACAGTCTAGAGGCAAGGGTGGCTGTGGGGTCACCCCCACACACACACACACACACACTCAAGATAAACGGAGACAGCATGTCCTAGAAATATATAAGATAATATATAATGTAAAATTCATAAAGTATCATTAAAAGTCCCCGAATTATATATGCTGTTTGCCTTTTACTTCCAGAATTACATGTGTAAAACTGGTATTAAGTAAGTGAGAACGATTCAACTTAGAAGTTCATGGTCTGGTCGCCTGGGCAAATATATTTCGAAGACTACACCCTTGATCACGGCTGCCTTCATCATGTGCGTCATACATTTTATTGCTTCCCGGTGTGTGTGTAAAGAGATATTTGCCAGACCAGAGAAACCTTCCCGTTCCTTTATCTTCCGTCTTTCTTCCCACAAAGCCAGAACCTTTTCTTTATTTTCTTTCCACTGTTCGTACGAAAGAGGTGGTGTTAACATGGGATTTACTTCCAAAGAAAAAGGTAGTGCACGCGAATTCTCACCCTCTTCCTTATATAAGAAGCCTCTAAGGGTGAAAATACTATCCGTTTCTCAAGTAGCCTCGACCTTAATGAGAATTCCGACATCGGTATTCCTCGCGGCAGACCTAATCCTGCCGTCTTCTATACCACCCAGCCTTTTGGACTTGTTCCAAAGGTTCGTTAGGGCATGCAGGACGCCAGGTCAACCTGAAAAACGTGCTCAAACTCCGAGGCTATTGCAGGGGAAATAAGAAGAAAGTTAAGGAACACGAGAAATTTGAAAGGAGAACGAAATTCTATGACGTGGGGGTCATGCCAGGATAAAAACAGGCGACTATAAAGTAAGATGTATGTAAAATTCATAAATATATTTTTTTTACTACGTAGGGGAATGCAAATATTTGGTAAAAGTTCCACGTATCATTGGGACGCGGCAATATTAGCCGATGACAGCCTAGCTCACCCTCGGGGTAAGTTTAACATCGTTATGAGCCGGGATAGCTCAGTCAGTATAGTGACTAGCTACGGGCTGGACGACCGGGGTTCGATCCCCGACGGGGGCAGAGGATTTTTTTTCCTCTAGCCTCTGCGTCCAGACCGGCTCTGGGGCCCACCCAGCCTCCTCTACAATGGGTACCGGGGTCCTTTCCCGGGGGTAAAGCCGGCCGGGGCGTGATGCTGACCACTCACCCCCATCTAGTGCCGAGGTCAAGGAAGAGAGGAGCTATACCTCCTCTCCCCCAAGCGCCTACATGGCGTATAGTGGGACAAACTTTACTTTACTTATACGAGAACTTCTCTCTACAGACGAAAACAGCCATCCCAGCTAGCAACGGGAAGCTTCTCCCTACGCAACGCGCCGGCCACTTGTCTGGATAGAGAATAGAATAATATCCGAGTTTTGCCGCACCGCGGCGTTGGCATCGCTTGTGGTATTGTTATCATTAGTTCTGAGCAGAATATTGAAAATAAATGACTTTCAATGCTGATGATGGGCCGAATCGCAGCGAAATTTACGATCTGAACACACTAACAATTGGCTTAGTTTGGAAGGGGTGGGGAAGGGGTTGAAAACAAAAGCCAAACGTCAGCGGGGGGAATTACAAGACAAAAGCACAACGCTGTCCGGAAACGACCACACTACTACATGAATACCTCCATTGTAGAATCTTCACCCCTTCACCCCATTGTGAATGTGATCGCGGTTTGTATTATGGAAAGCATGCTGGGAGTTTACAACCCCCTTACCTCAAACATGCGTGAATACGAAACAAACGTTGTGGATCAGATAGGATACTGTAAGTGGCAGATTATCAATATTTATGTGCGAACAATTTTTTGTTGTTGTCCTATATATATAGTGAAACTAATCGAGATGGCTCGGAGCTCGTTCG